TGATGAATTTTCAATTGAAGTGATGGACGAACCTTCATCTTTAACATTACTGGTTAATGAAAATCATAATTTTGAGCCTATTATTAAAACACAGGAGCAAGAGCGAAAAGATACTAATGTTTGGAGGACTAGTATAGCTATGGATATGTGGGTGAATTCTATTTAGAACGACATGATATTACAAAAAATTATTATTATTTATCCAAACATTATTTTTTTTTATTTTTATATTTGACTCTTTTTAAATTTGAATGTATGAAAAAAATCTTGAATTCTTATCTTATGTCAAAAATTTATGAAATTCTGCAAAGTTCACAAAGTCCCGCAGAATCCATTAAAATCCTAACTTAAAAGTCTTGCATAATCCATTAAAATCCTGATTGAAAGTCTTGTAGAATCCTACAAAATTTTAAAAGTCATGAAAATCTTGCAAAGTCTTTTAAAATCCATAGGACTTTTTTCAACTAAAAAAGTCCTTTAAAATCATAATCCAATATACCCCCCTAAGACTTACACCTAATTTTAATGAATTATATATACACACACCTCTTTATATATCAATATCAATGATTTATTCTTATTTTTCATGCTTGTTATGGACTAATCACCTATAACTTGATCTTTGAATTGAAATTTTTAGAAAATACTCTTTAAATATCAATGTAAAATGAATAAGCATTTAATAAATCAGATGTCTAGAAATAGAGTTAGATCTGTTAGTCATTTAATCATTGAAGCTTAACTCAACTTTTATTCTAAATATTTGAGGGATTGATATTCAAGAAAGTAGATTTTGGTTAAAAAATTAATGAAGTTTAATTGAATCGATGATGATAGTATTGATGTATAAAGAGAAAATGTATGTTTTGGTCATTTGAATACTTGAGGGAAGATTGATAAGTCTAATTCCAATGTTTCTTATGATTATTAATCTCATTTACAATTTTGATTTTAAGATAACCTTTATTTTTGAAAGTCTAATGAATCTATAACTTGAAATTATAATTATTGTTGAATGACATATTATTGTGTGGATCCCTATAGATACGACAATCCAAATCATTATGGTATTCCAATACAAAATGCAAATATATATAACTAATTTCGTAATTACCCTTATAAAAAATAAATTAAGTTGTAAAGAATTTTAGGGTTTAGGGTTTTCTACAACAACTTTAGTATAATTGTTTGGATATTACTATGGTATCCTAATAATTATTTTGAAGTAATTAATTTTTTTGCAATAAAAATATGAATTTTAGATTCAAACTTATACTAACTTGAAATGCAAGAATATAGACAAAATTTGGAGTTTGACTCATAATCCATCGATATTTCAATTTTGTCTATTATACTATTTGGATTTTCGAACTTTCTAGGACAAGGATACCCTTTTCTAGCAAAATTCCTAGCAATGAGAATTGGCCTTCAAAGGTACTGAGACCGTGAGTACATGAAAACTCTTGTCATGCAAATTCGTTAACATTTTTCACTCATGGGATGAACATTTGGTTACTCTACACCAGCCCAAGAATACACTTCACATAATCAAAAACCTTTCGTAGAGAGAATTGCATGTCACTTGGCTCCGAACTTATATATAGGGATAGGAACGAAGTTGCTAACAGCTCACAGTAACCAGTGAGAGAAGTAATGGGCTGATTTTCTAGAATAAGTTCTTGTTGCTTTGAGTCGTGACTGGTTCTCACTTTCTTAAGTTCTTGTTTGTTTTTAGTTTCGTCAATGTACCCAAAAAGAATAGTTTAAATTAAAAGAATCTAAAATTTAATCATCCAATGCCTCTCATATATATTTATATGGGTACTATAGATTTCCTAGATTGTCATGCATATTTTATGGTTCAATAACTCTCAAAACATATCTTGGTTGACAAAGTCACTAATACTAACGGTTAAATACCAATCGATTATTTAAGTAGCATTAGTATTATCTTAACATGGTAACTTTATTGTTGCAACAAAAATTTAATTATATGATTAGTTCTTTATTTTATATTTTTTAGCTTTATTTTGGTTATTTATCTTTTAAAACATTTATTTTAGTTCTTTATTTTCTAAATTTAAGTCAATTTAGCATTTTTGAATCCTTTTTTAACTAATTCAATACTTAAAACTTGTCTCATAAAATTCATTTATATGAAAACTATATTGAAGTTCAAATCACAATTATTATAAACATGGTGAAAATCAAAATTTTCAGAAAATCTAATTTCATATTATTTTCTAATAGTTTGTCAAATATATTTCTCACATGATTTTTACTAAATTTATGACTCTTATGAATTTGAACATTATTATATTTCATAGTTTTTAGATGAGTGAATCTAATGTTACAAGTTTCACCACTTAAATTACTTAAATATTGTTTCAAATATAAAAAATAAAAACCGAAAATAAACATTTTAACTGATGAAAGATCAAAATAAATATAAAAAAAATATAATAAAAAATAAAAATATAATTTAGCCTAAAAAAACATGGTAACTTTATTATATACTTTAAAAGTTATCTTTTATTCTTCGTTACGACTGCTAAGCAAATTTCATTGTGCTATAATAACTTCAGTATTTCCTTCTGTTGACTACATTAATTAATATATCTTATATGCATGTGTAATTGCTTTGTTTTTTTTTTGACATTTAATAACAGCCTCCATATATATATATATACATACATTTGTTCACTTGGTAAAGCTTCGAATCAATGAAATTTATTTTCTAATCCAAAACAAAGTTCTTAATGTAAACATATCTATTTTCTTTCTTTAACATGGAAATTATGTTGTTATAGTCTGTCGCAAAAAAAGGTAACAAAAAACGGAGAGAATAACAAAAAATGAGGTAGTTGCAGTTTCTACATACATTATAATTGTAGTACTCCCTTAATCGAAGCAAGGAGCAATCATTTTCGATTCAAAATGCTCACAAAAGTTAGAACATTTAAACGGATAGAGAGCATGACAAAAGAATTTTGTAAACAATCATTAATTCACTTCATGCTTTGTTCATGTTTCTTCTTTTCACTATGATATACTTTGATAGCGGAGAAGCAATATTAATTTAACTACTCCATAGTATAAATAGACAAGTATAAAAGCATGCAATGATATCTATGATAACGAGAAGATTCCACTCTACGTGAATCCGTTCAAACCAAAGGCTATTTTCATTTTCTTAACTTGTAAATATTTTAATCACAAAACTCTTTCCATTTTAAGCTAAGCATTAATAAGTTGTTGATAGAAATAAAACTGAACTTAGTCTAATTATGTAAGATTTTAGATTTAAGTATTCTGAATAAAAATGTGATTAGAAGATAGACTTTATTAAAAATAATTAATTAGATTTCTCAAAAAAGATCAATCATCATAAAATTATTAGTAAATACTTCATACTAATAATATAGATATAAATAAATAAATAAGTATTTTTAAGCACATATTGAGGAGAGAAATCAAGGAATTTGAAATTTGATTTCTAGTTAATTTGTAATTACAAACGAAATAGATGAGTTATATAAAAAAATTTATAAATAATCTATCAATAAAATCCTTATACAGTAGCGAAAAGTCAGGTGTTTATGAGAAATGAGTCCACTCTAGTTACTAATTGGACAAGTTATGATAGTAACAGGTACTTTTAAAGAGCCACTTCTGTCCGCTGTTTTCCCCCCATTTTTGGCACAATATTTTGAGGTTTTCTTTTTCCCGGTTAGACTTACGCGTATACGATGAGACATAATTGTTTTTCGCTAATGATCAAACCATATTTGTTAGCATTTTAAATAATTTGATTTGACCATAGAATAATATATTTTTTTTTTATCGTATAGTAACAATAGCTTGTATTTATAATAAGTTGAGTTTTTTTTTTTTTTTTTTTTAATAATTTCTTGGGCAAATAGGCGAAGGAACGGAATGTTTAATTTTAGCGAATGGCCCAATAGCCTCCTTCCTAAAGGGCTGTTAATTTCGCCTTAAAAAAAAATCTGACTCAATTTGATTGTTAAATTTGTTTTCTCTTTAAACTCATGATTCAAAAGTGACAAAACCTGTGGGCTGTGCTGTGCCATATTTTGGGATCAAGTCAAATTAGGTTAGTATTTTGTTGGTCTAATCCAACTAATAAAATCTTCAGGTTGGGCAGGCTGGCCATATGATTGTTATTCTTTATAAATAAATTTAATATTTTTTGACAGAAAAATAAATTTGATATTTAAAAACTTAAACAAATGAAAGATGAAAAAATTTGGACATGTTTATTTTAGATTATTGATAAACAAATTAGGAATCTATTACATTCACCGTTTAATAAATTAACGCTTGAAATTTGAATGGATAGAAAATCAATCTTATTAATTGAGGAACCAATCGAGGGTTACATATATACATGAAACTTAAAAATAGAAAGGAAGCAACAGAGCTGAAAATAAGGAAACAGAATAAATAACAGCTAGAGATAAGCAAGTAGTTGGCATTGTAACAAATGCTAATTAGTTAGAAACTAATTTGACCATGGGTATTAGCCCCCTCAAACCGGAGAATGTATATTAATCATTCCCAGTTTGGAAAAAATATATCTAAATGGTGTAAGCATCAGAAGTTTTGTGTAAATGTCAACTAGTTGTTGTGTTGAAGGGACAGACAGAAGATGAATAAGGCCTTGGTTGAGCTTTTACTGAACAATGTGACAATCCAACACGATGTTTTGTACGCTCATGGAAGTTAGGATTATGAGCAATATGGATTGTCGAGTGGTTGTCATAGAAGAGTGACATAGGAGAAGGCTCAGCAGCTTGCAAATCCTACAGTAGATAAGAGATACATTGTGCTTCACACATTGTTGATGCAAATGCGCGATACTCAGCTTCACATGAAGACCTCGCTGTAGTAGTTTGCTTCTTGGATCGCCATGAGATTAAAGAGAAACCAATGTATAAATAATACCCACTAATTGATTTTCTAGAATTAATGCATCCAGCCTAATTAGAGTCATTGTATGTTGTGAGCTTGTGAGTGTTTGATGATGGATAGAAAAGGCCACACCTAGGTGAGCCTTTGATATAGCGAAGGACATTGTGAACAGCTGCTTGATGTTGGTTTGTGGGAGCAGATAAGAATTGACTAAGTTGATTCACCACAAAAGCTATGTCTAGTCTTGTAGTTGTAAGATAAAGAAGTCTTCCTATCAATCTTCTATAGGAGTTGATATCAGAGAGTGGTTTGCTAGTAGTAGCTCCCAACCTGACTGAGTTATCCATAGGTGTTGTTGCTGCCTTACAGTAGAGAAGACCAGAGTCTGATAAAAGTTTCAAGGAATATTTGCGTTGGTTAACCACTATGTGTTTACAAGACCGTGTAATTTCTAAACCCAAAAAGAACTTGGCTTCTCCAAGATCCTTAATGTGAAACTGTGCATGAAGAGACTGCTTGACCTTATTGATCTCAAAAATGTCATTTCCTATTAACAATACATCGTCAACATATAATAGTAAAGTGGTGAAGGATTTCTCTGTCTTCTTGGTATACAAGGTGTTATCAGCTTGACTTTGAGAATAACCAAGAACCTGCAGAGCATGTGAGATAGTGTTGAACCATTGTCGACTAGCTTGCTTTAACCCATAGAGAGTTTTCTTTAATAAACAAACCTGGTTAGGCTTAAAAGTCAAGAGACCTTGCGGTAAAGCCATATAAATTTCTTCTTCTAGGTTTGCATGTATGAAAGCATTATCTACATCTAATTGGTGTAAAACCAATTTTTGGAGGAGGCCAAAGCTAACACAAATCTTAGAGTGGTCATCTTTGCTACGGGGGAAAAGGTATCCATGAAGCCAATACCTTCTATTTGAGTGTAACCCTTCACAACCAGCCTTGTTTTGTGTCGTTCTACTGTCCCATCCTGTTTGTGCTTGAATTTGTAGACCCATTTGTAACCAATGAGGTTTTTGTCAGGTAGTTTATCAACCAGGACCCAAGTATTGTTTCTTGCCAAAGCCTCTAGTTTTTGATCCATGGTTATCCTCTAACATTCATGTTTGACAGCCTCGGAATATCTGGTGGGCTCAAGTGTGGTGGTGATGTTCATAACAAAAGACTAATATGAAGGTGTCAAACAATCATAAGAAAGCACTTGAGAAAGAGGATAGAGATTATTACTTTTGCCTGAAGATTGATGTGGCACAGTAGTGGCAACAACAAGGTTGCAGTGATAGTCCTAAAATATGAAGGAGGCTTTATAATTCTCTTAATTGAACACTATGGTACCGGTATAGGATTATGTGGTGTGGCTATTACATCTGCTATTTGGCTATTAAGAAGAGGATTTGTTGGTGTTTTAGGTTCTAACTCAGTTTGTGGTAGAGTGTAATCAAAAGGTTCCATAAGAATAAAGGTTGGCAAGGGAATACTAGAACTGGAAGTAGTGTTGGTAGATGATTCAATTGATATGGAAAAATATTTTCATGGAAGATGACATTCCAAGATATTGACAACTTTCTGATCTTGAGGTCATAGACAATTTAACCTTTTATGCCACTTTTATATCCCAGAAAAATACACTTTGTGGCTCTAGGATCAAATTTAGTCCTATGACTAACAAGTGTGGAGGAGAAACAAAGTGAACCAAAGACCTTGAGTTGAGTAGGTCAAGAAGACATTTACATAGGAGCTGATAAGGGCACTAGTTAGCCAAAATTGGTGTAGGGTTTCAGTTGATGAGATAAACTGAGTGCATAACTATATAAGACCAAAATATTTTGGGAAGGTGAACTTGAAACAACAAGGCTTTAGCAACATTGAGAATATGTTGGTGTTTTCTTTCTACTATGGAGTTTTGTTGAGGAGCTTCTACACAACTTGTTTGGTGAACTATTCCTTTTGTAGCATAAAATTGGTCAAATTTGAACTCCTTACCATTATCAATTCTAATGGTTTTAACTGCGGTTTGAAACTACTTTTCCACCAATGCTCAAAAGGCTTGAATTAAAGGTCTGACTTCTGCCTTATTCTTTAGCAAATAAATCTAAGTGTGTCTAGAGTAGTCATCCACTATGGCAAGGAAATAAGAATGACCATGTATGGACATTACAGAAACTAGACCCCAAATATCAGCATGAATCAACTCAAATATTGTAGTGGTAAAGGAGAAACTTAAAGGAAAACTTAACTTTCTTTATTTTGCGATATGACATATCACAAACGTGATTTTTATTACAATAAACAAAAGGAAACATTTCACTAATTGCTTGACTTCTATCAAAAGACGGATGACCCAACCTATAATGCCATAAATTGGGAAAATTGGAAGGAAAATTACAAGAAAAAATTTATAAAATGGTGTTGTAAATAGAGATGGAGAGTTTCTTGCAAATAATAAAGGATTGAGAAGACTCGATTGTCTTTGTGAAAATGTATAGGCCTCTTTGTGCTTTAGTTGTGCCAATCATCTTGCAAGCCTGAAATCTTGTATTAAACAAATATCGTTAAGGAAAGTCAGTTTACAATGAAGGGTTTGAGTTATTTTTGTAACTGATATTAGATTGAATTTGAAGCTTCGTAGAAATAAAACATCAGTCAAAACAAAATTGGATGAAAAATGAATTGTGCCAGATATGGTGGTTGAAATTAAGATTCCATTGGGCAAGGACACTTTCATAGGTGGCATGTGCTTGTATGCAGTAAAGTAATTGAGGGAATTTGAGATGTGGTCCGTGGCACCAATGTCCGGGATCTATCTAGAGATTAGTACATTACCATTACTTGTTGGATTTGAATTAGTACAAGCATTCGCATGAGCAGTATGCTGTGTGGAGTCCCTCTGATCTTATTGTGGAAGTAAAGCTAATAAACTCTAATATTGGTTTGTAGTAAAATGAAACCACACACTTTCTTGTGTTTCCTTTCCTGATGAATCTTCTAAGTAGTTGGTCTCATTTTCTTCAGTCATCACCATATTTGCAAATCTTAAAGTAATGCTTTTGGAATTTTTGAACTTAAAACCAGCAGGGAAACCGTGTTTCCTATAACAAACGTCAACTGTGTGACCTATTTTTCCATGCCACGAGCATTTCTTGGAAGTGTATATGTTATTCCAACCATTACCATTCCCTTGATTTCTTTTGGAGTGTGATGCATCATCACTGGCCGCAATAAGAGCCTCTGGCACAGAAGCATTCTCAGTGGCAAATTGTTGTTCTTGTTGAGAAATTAGTGCAAAAACTTGGTTCACATTAGGAAGATTATCTAAGAGCATCAGTTGTGATCTAACACCTAAATATTGGTCATTCAGTCCTCGCAAGAATCTAACCACTTGATTCTTATTTCGCTACTCTTTAACTTTCTGGATTGCACCACATGAACATTTAGGGTTGCATGTACAAATAGAAGGGGATTCAAAACATCTAATTCATCCCATAGAGTTTTTAGTGCAGTGTAAAATTTTGAGACAAAGTTATCACCTTGCCTCTGGAAAAAGATTTCCTCTTGAATTTTTGAGATTTTGAACAAATTAGCATGGGAAAAATGCTCACAGAGTTCCTTCCACATACGTCTAAAGCCGTCTCATGCCAAAGAATGGATTGCCCAATATCCAAGCTCATCGAATTTATTAGCCAACTAAGAACAAACATGTTACCTCATTCCAGAAAGGAAAAATTGCATGATTCTTTGGTGGTTCTGCAATTGTGCTGTCAACGAATCCCAACTTATTCTTTGTCAACAAGCTCATCTTCATCGCACGAGACCAACTGTGATAATTCCCGTTTGTGAGCGGTGGTGAAACAAGGATGGTGGAGGGGCTCTCGTTTGGGTGTATATATAGGGGATTTAATGTATTATATGCATCTTGCACAATATAGGGGTATGTGGCTGCATTAGCCATTGATGTGCACAACAAAGCTCTCTCTAATAATAAATTAACAATTGAAATTTGAATGGATAGAAAATCAATCTTATTAATTGAGGAACCAACCGAGGGTTACATATATACATGAAACTTAAAAATAGAAAGAAAGCAACAGAGTTGGAAATAAGGAAACAGAATAAACAATAGCTAGAGATAAGCAAGTAGTTGCACCGTAACAAATGCTAATTAGTTAGAAACTAATTTGACCATGTGTATTATCGATTGGATTTAAATTCTTCGCATGAAAAGAAATCTAAATTAAAAGCATTTCTATAATTTTTAGATGATAACATATGAGGTATAATATGAATCGGATTAACATTAATTAAAAAATCCAAACTAGTGAGTTGATATTAATATTAAATGCAAAAAAAGATTTAAGTGTTTAACTGTATAAGAGTTACATTTTGTGAAATCTAATCTCAACATTAACATATTGTTTCATTACTTATCTAAACCACTCTCTACGTGTTCGTAAAAATGCCAAAAGAACTTTATCTTTTTATTGCACCATCTTTATTTTTTTTTACCAATCAAACTCAATTAATGGGATATTCTTTAGTCTAAAATAGTGAGTGAATATTTTATTATTGTGTATTTCATAAGTCCTTAAGGAGACGATATCTACTCATCATTGAACTACTTTCACCATTGGATACTTGCTAAACAAATAATACTAGTTCCATGATAATCTTGAAGTAAGGTGAGCAAAGGATAGGTTAGGTTGAGTTATGCTTGACCCTAACTCACCCCTAAATTTTGATCGGATCAATATTTAGACTCTAACCATCCCTAAACTTAAGTGAATTTGATGATCTACAAGTTGAATTTGGATTGGGTTCTTTTAGGACATGATTAGGTTAACCCGAAACATAAGTAATATATATTCTTACTTATTAATGTAATGGAGATTTTAAGAATAATTTAATTTCATCATTATAAATGATATATTATGTAAATTAAACTATTGTTACTTAGGTTATAATTTTTTGGTGAAATATAAAAAATGAAGGCAAAAATATATTTTTAGTCCCTTATATTATTTATTAGTGTCAATTTAGTCATATTTTAATTAATTGAATCAATTTAGTCCCACATCTTTAAAATGTATCTTAATGTTTGATTTTTCATTTCCTCCGTTTAAATACTTAATATATTTGACATGTGTCATGCCACGTGTCATGTCATCATGTCAGGTGTCATGATGTCCAGCCATGTGGCATGACAACATGACACATGTCATGGCACGTGTCATATTCGTTAAGTATTTGAACGAAGGAGACGGAAAATCAAACATTGAGATACATTTTAAAGATGTGGGACTAAATTGATTCAATTAATTAAAATGTGACTAAATTGAATCTAATAAATGATATAAGGCACGAAAAGTATATTTTTTCCAAAAATGAAATACATTATGAAAATATAAGTACTGGTTGGGTCGGATTATGTTCGACCCTAACCTGTCCCTGAATTTTGATTGGACCAATTTCTTAAATTCTAACCCATCCTTAGACCTAATTGAACCTGATATCTATGTGTTAAATTAGGATGACCAAGTTGGGCCACTGGGTTGGGTTGAGTTCTACTTACACCTATCCTAAAGGAGTCTCTTTGCGAGAAAAATGAAAATCATGTCTTTATAATCAATGCCATCTTTTTTTTAGTAAACTCCTTAGCAACAAGTCTAGCCTTGTATTGTTTAAAGTTGTCATAAGAATCATATTTAGTCTTAAATACTCACTTACAACTTCCTCTCTTGTAACATTTTGACAATTCTACAAGATCCCAAACACTATTTTGTTCCATAGATTTTAACTTTTATTTCATGACATCTAACAATTTCTCAAAATTATCACAACTTACAACTTGCAAAAACAAAAGTGGATCATCATTATTAATATTTAAGTCAGTTTCTGACTTATATAGATATATCTATTGGGACTTGATAAGGTAAGTTACAAAACAATTTTAATTAAAAGGAACCCATGAGCGAAATAACCCTTTCCTACGATCACACTAAACACAAGAACCACACTAAGGTTTAGGGTTTTACCTTTGTAGTGCGCTTTGTGCCGTTATGGAGAGTCCTCTATGTGCTGTTGAAGGATGAAGACCTTTTTTCTTCTAATCACCAAGCACCAAAAGCTATGAGGCCTCTACTTAATCCAAGTAAGCAATGTAGGAGCAGGTTTTCAATGCTAGCCACATGGTAGACAATGTTAGGGTTATGTGTGTCTCACCAAACTCTTATTCTTTATTTTTTACTCTATTAGAAAAGGCGTAGGTATGATTAGGTTAACCCATCTATTAATAAACTATTGTTGACCTAATTTTCCTCCTTGTTGAGTTAGCCCAATACAAGCTCAATATCTTGTCCATTTGATTAAATCACTTTGCTACTAATTATTAATTAAATATTATTTAATTAATTGACCCTTAAATTAAATTATATTTAATATAATAATTTTTTTCAAACGTTTATTCTATTTGTGTGACCCTATAATTTATCATTGATTGACAATAATATTTAATATTTTATAATAAGCATTATAAACAAAGATTGACATCTAACAATGATTCATTGTCACCTAATTAAAAAGAATAAATTGTTTATTCAATTTCAATATTTCTATAACTATAATTATCGTATGATTATTTGTCCCTTCATCCATATGCCTTTGATTAAACATGAGACGTAATAGTGTCATTCTCGTTAAGTCCAATTATATGTTTCTTGATACCTAAGTAGATGTCCAAACACAAATATACCCAATATTCAAAAAATCACATTCAAATTACAATTGAATCAAGAATACAAATTATCATATTTAACACACAACGGAACAATTATTTGTAATCCAAATTGATTTTAGTAGTTACCTTCTTTCACTTTAGGGAAAAACAACTAGTATATGTTTTAACTACTTTCCTTTACTTGTTTTTCGTTAGCATACTTGTTTAAGAGCATTTCTTCCTTATCCAATTTGTTTAGAAGGCTATATTCTTGCCTATTAGGGGTCTCGTGCACATACACTTGAACTTTTCTTTGCAAAAATCTTTTATCACTCCATTTTTTGTGAAATACTTTCAAAGATTTATGAAAAACTTTCTTGAACAAAAATGAGTGATCATTATTCTTATCATAGTAGTGTGCATGGTCAAAATTCTCATAGTAGTAGAAAGAGTACTAAGGAAGAACTTAGGCAATTGAAAGAATATATTAGGAGGAAAGGTGAGGAAAATGAAAAAAATAATGAAGCCATAATAAAGTTATTGGTTAAACTTGTCGTGAAAGTTGATACTATAGAAAACCCAAAGATAAAAGTTGTGAGGGGGCCTTTTAGGTTAACTAAAGGTAAGAGGGTTGAAAAACCCAAGAGTAAATGATGGAGGACCATCCATAGAGAGTGCACACATGCCATTCATAGGGAGCTCACACATAAAGACCATTGAGCATTTAACTAGGTCCATGGTTAGGAGGCTAGAGAAGGCTTATACATAGAATGTGCTTCTTAGACCTATGCTCTACATGACCATTGAGTATGAATCCTCTCATTAGTCTCTTAGTCTCCATTGTATATAACTTATATAGTACTTTGTACATATTAGATACTTGTATAGGTGTATTGCTTTGCCTTTGTATTTGTAAGGTACCTTTTTCTTTCTTTGTAGATCATACCCTTAGGATTTTAGGGTATATTACTTGGAGACTTTTACTTCTTTTGACCTTGTATTAAGGGTCATAAATATTCTCAGTTTTACCTTTAGAAGTGGGGTGGCAAATAACAAGTGTGTAGGTGAAGCTAGCAATTGAGCCCTTAGTGGGCCTAGGCCAAATTTTACATATTAGGCTTGTTTTGCTCTATTTAATCTAAGTAATTGATTTAGCTAGGTCTCACCTTCATTTGGTGAACCTAACTAAACCAATTAGAATAGTTTGTATTGGATTAAGTGAAGGAAAACAAGGCTAGGCTGTCATTCTCACCTTTGGCTAAGTCTTTTAGTAGCTTCTCCAACACACTTGGTTCTTGTTAGCCAAGGAGACAAGGTGATACTTGACACCTCTTGATTGGTTCTTCTATATCTAAGTGTCCCTATCTTGTCTATTTTGCACTACAAGCTACTCCACCAATATAGGTTGTTTCACTTGTAAAAATCACTCTGGATGCATTTATATGAGAGTTTTCAAGTTTATCTCTGAATTCTTTCTCGCTAAAGTCTCAAATTCTCTTTGATTTGATTCTAATTCTCTTATCCTCTTCCTAAAGGGTGTGGTGAAAATTGAAGTGGTTTATCTTCTTCCTAGGAGTGACACCACTTGAAAAGAGTTTTTTACCTCCTAAGGTGAAACTAGAGGTCTCTATCTCCATTAGAGACCTTGGAGAAGCTTGAGAAGTGTCAAGAAGCCAAAGATCTAGGGAGGAACTTGAAGGAGAAGCCAAAGCATTCAGTCACTCCTTAATATTTTTCATCATTTGGTATCAAGAGCAAGGTCTTTTGATGGAGCCAAGTAGGTGAGATGAAATGATGATTCCTCCTTGCTTGGTTCCGCAAATGATCTTGGTCTTTGAGTCCACAATTCTGGAAAGAAAGTAGAAGAAGGAAGCTAGATTCGGATGAACCAAACCTTAGATGGAAGCACTCAAGTTAGGAGTGCAAGGGATTGCTCACAGATTAGCTTTAGAAGTGGCGGATTCCTAAAGCTAAGCTAAGTAACTAAAGTGACTCTTGGAGAGAAAATGGCTGAAGAATGTATTCATATTTCTCTATGCTCAAAAGTGTTTACAAAGAGTGAAGGAACAAGCATTTATAGATCCTTGAAGCAAGCTAGGTGGCGCCAACTTCACTAGCCACATTTGGCGCCAAAAATTCAAATTTCAAATGGAAATTTGAATTCAAATTCAAGGCTCCATGTGCTATTTCGTGAATTTGGGGCTTCCATGCATCTAAATATCATTTAGGGGACATTTGAAGTGTATTTGGAGGTGCACATGTTCAACCATACTTGGCAAGAAACATGTGATCCAAATGCATCTCAAATGACTACTAAATGAAACCTAGATTTTAGCTTCTTGGCCTATTTTAGTATTCCTTCAATATTCCTATGCTAATGGCCTAAATATAATGGCCAACCAAATATAAACATTAGGAAATAATAAAAGAAACAAAATGAGCCCAATATTGAGTACCAAAAGTCCAAAGGCCTATGAAGCTCAAAACTACACCCATTAAGCCTATGGCCCAAAAATGCTACTCTATGTGGTCCAGAATACAAGACCAAAATATATGAAACTTATACTAATATATTATATACAAAATAGAAGAAAATGGAAATCTCAAGGTGTGGCCCATGTGAGGAGCAACTTGGGCCTTCCAAGTCCATCAGGCCCATTGGGCTTTGACTGGCTCAAATCTTCATACCTAACCCATTCCTCTTGATTCCTTCAAGGTGTCACCTCTTGCCTTCCTAAGCATGATTCCATCATCTTCTTGGTAAACACTTTCCTAAAGCTTCTTTTCAATTTTTGTTCGGTCAAAACACGATATATAGTGTCTAAATTTGTTATATATGTTTGCTCCTTGATTGTACAATGATTTGTATGGATTAGGATTGTTCTTGTGTCAAAACTATAAATCTATAGAACAATGCACCTTGTCTTGCATGTTTTTGATTCATACATAAATCTTTGTGAATCAATCTTGTTGTGTGCTTTTAGATTATTCTCGAATCTTCATTTTATTGTTTTAGGTTTTCTTATATCTTATTTGAATCCATAAGAAATTCGTTCAAAAGAAAATCCTAAAGAGAAACAAGTATTGAAAGCATTTTTCATTTCTTAATCTCCTAGTTTTGTCTTAGAAATTTTGTGTAGTTGCTTTACTTGTTATAACTTCTCTTGTGTGCCTTTTTCTTTTGAAATCTATAAACATTAGTCTCTATTTTTGGTTTGTTAATATTTCTGGCTGAACATTTGTTAAATCTTAGAAGTGCTCATTGAATGATTCCTATGCATGTTATTAGACCTAATATGTTCTAGTGTCAATTTTTTTGAACTTCAATTGCTAATTCTTTCTTAGCAAATTAAGGTCACCAATTATGTGTCTTGTGTGCTTATTTTAAGAAATATAAATAGAGTAGAAAGTGAAAAAATAAAATCAAAGAAAGTGTACAAAAAAGAGAACAAACTAGAAGCAAAACATAGAAACTTGTCTTGTACACTTACACTTCCTATATCTGTTTTCCACCACTTGTAAACCTTCTTAATTCATTGTCTGGCCTTTGTTTTAACTGCTATATATATATATATATGTTGTGAGATTGAATAAAAAATAATAAATAAATAAATATATATATATATATATATATATATATAAAAGAAAGAGCTAAGAAGGCAACAGAAAAAAGAAAATAAAAGCAAAAAGCTAGAAAAAGAAAAGTTTAAAACAAAGAAAGTTTAGAGCACTTGGCCTTGTGATTTTTTGTGCATTTTTGCTTTGGTTTACTCTCTGTACAGTGGCTAGAAACACAATTAAAACACTCAAAATATTAGCACAAATATTTTGTTTCATTTTGTAATCAACTCTAGTGTCATTCTTAGGACTATTCCTTTGACAACTAATGTTGAAATTGTCTCTTATTTTTTGCTTTGCGTCTTTTAATATTCTTTTAGTTTGTCACATTAATTCTTACTTGAGTTTAGCCTTTTCTAATTGTACTTTTTCAGCTTTGATTTTATTGGCTCCTACTCTCTCTTGTTGGTTGTTATTTCTTGGTGGTGGTAGGTCCATTTTCAAGTCATTACACTTGGAAAGGAGTTGATAATTTGATAAACATTGGATCCACTTCGAAGGAACTAGAACTTTTGGGAGATTGAGGTACCATAAAACTTGAGAGAAACACATTGGAGAGGCTAACTTGTTTTCTTATTTTGTAGGGACAAAAATCATACAAATCGGATTAGTAACCGATTTTAGCAACGAAAATTTCCAACACTATCCAAACCCGTCACAAATGCCGTTAATAAAGTTGTCTCTAATTTTGTTTCCACTTTGTTTGAACTTCATTTCATTTGAGTTTCATTCGTAATTTATTTGTATTTCATTTGCAATCTTTTAGTTGCTAGACTTTTCATTTTCCTTGCTTAATTTGTAATTGTATTGACTATTAGGAGTGTCTTGGGAAACCTTTGGTGTTCTCCCATCTCTCCTATGTTTTACTAGTGAAACTTAATAACCGTTAGTACTTGTGGAAGTGTCCTAAGGGATTCTAAGTGTCACTTAGGTTTCCGCTAGGGACTTATCTAATTTACTTGCTTTCTAGATATGTTTAGTACTTGGGGAAGTGGTCTAAAGGGCTCTTAAGTGTCATTTGGACTTCTACCCTAGGAAACTCGACTAGTGTATGCTTTTACATGCTTTCTTTATTGCTTTCTTCGTTAGTTTACTTTCTAATTCCATTTAGGAACGTTCTAAGTTCTCTTTAGAATGCTTTCTTTGCCTACTACGGTTTGTGCACACACTTGATTTTTGTGCAAAATTATTTTGTAAGACAAGTATAAAAAAGTTTAGTAATTCTTACTTAAAAAGACTTGGTTATTAAGTGACTCTTATGTTATAAAAATTATCTAGATTAATCTTTTATCAATTAAATGTCAGTAGTGTAATGGTAAGGCAACTTATAATTATTCAAAGGTCTTGGGCTTAAGCCCCATCCGGTATATAAGTCTTTAATATTTAACATTTGCATATACATACTATGCAAAGCAAAGTAAAATCTAGGTTGTATGGGTTTATATAGTCTGATAGCATAACTAATGAAAAAGGGGTTCCGACCAACTTGTCCAAACCAGTTTTTAAAATTATGCTTTATATTCGATTACTTCAACTTTTAAATATCATAAGAAACTTATCTCCACATATATTATTTAATGTTTTGTGACTATTCTATTATCCGAGCTTTAAATCAATTAAATAGCCTAAAATGTGAGTAAAATAAGAAGTGAAAATTGAAAAAAAAAATAGTTATAATTTCTAATAAATTATAGTTAATTTCCAATAAAAAAAAATAGTTACTAGCAAAGTGTGTGAGAAAAAAGTGTATTATTAGAAAATGTTTACTGTAGATATATTATGGGTTACATATTAAAATTTTCTTATGTGACACCAAGAGGAGCTTAAAAAAATAAGCTCGTATTTTATTTATGAAATGGTAGGATATGAATAAAAAAAAATACTTTGATAGCATTGAGAAAGATAAGATGAGAGAAACTTTCGAATGATTAACTTATTAAAATGTGTAAACAAATATGTGTATATGTGTGTGAGGTACTTATTAAAATAAGTATTTGGAATAAGATATGCATAATTTTTTATGAATTTCTCATATATGATGAGACATTATAAGATCTAGTTAAAATAAATAAAATACTCAAAATGAGATATTTAAGACAAACTCATTAAAATGCTCTTAGTGTTTTTCAATATTGTAATTATATCAATTATCATAATATTCCCTCCATTCTATTGTATTTGTCATTTTAGCGATTCTAATTTGCTTCAATTTGATTTTTGTTTTATACCTTTCTATCAAAATATATATATATATAACATTAAATATGTTTTTCTTATTTTACTCTTAACCAGTATCAATATTTTCTTTGATTAATGAGTTACTTTTCTTTTTTTTAATACTTATTATTTTATAGGTGAAAATTCAAAAGGTTCAATGATATATTAAAAAGGTACATAATTTTTTTTAATGAAATCTAACATATTAATTATATTTTTAAAATTATGTCAAAATTTTAAATCTCAAACAAAATGGAACTCAGAAAATATTAAAAGCGGCATGGAAGGAGTCTTCAATTGAATTTTGAGACCTATTCTAATATTTATGTCCCATGACCCAACTCATCTCTTTCGGTAAGAAAATAAATAAATAAATGAACAACTCACCTAAATCTTTTAGAGTAAAAAAAAATTGAAATTTTCAATTAAAAACTGAAGTCTTTTCCTTTGGAATTGGTTATGCCAGTTTTTTTTTTTATCGGTTTTGAACAAGTTTTAATTTTATACCTATATTTTTGTATGGTCAATTTTTTTCTTTTAATTTAAATGAACCCGGCATCGAATCCGCAGTCCAATTAGCGGATCTAGTCCAATGTTACAACACAGGTGATGATAATTTTGAGTTGTGAATAATTGAGGTCAAATATTCGCGGAATACATCGCTGTCAAGGTTCTGATTTTGAAACACAAAAAGACCCAAAGTTCTGATTTTGAAACAACCAAAGAAACCGAAAGCCAAGCTTCAGTGGCAGAAGCTTCTGCATTGATTTTGGAGGAAAATTAGGTGACAACCACAGTGGAGGGTGTTGCCATGGTTGTAGGGGAATGAATGCTGATAAGGAATGAATGGTGTTTATTGACTGTGAGGGGTGAGAGTGACTTATGCATTAAACAAGTTTTTGGGTTTATTATACATTTTTAATTGGTAAACATTATAACATTAACATATTTGAACTTATGTAAATGCAAGTATTATTCTAATTCTCTACTATTATACTAATCTTAATCTTATGTTTTGTTTAGAAGAATAGAGAAGAAAAAAAAAAGAATATGAGAGAATTGATTCGATAAAAAATAAGTAAAAAATAATATATAGTTTATTTTTATGAAATTATATAAAAAGATGGAGGGAAATTAATATTTTAAATATTTATTTTTATAACTAAATTTTTATATAAAAATATTATTTAAACAATAATATTTTTATCATTTATTAATTAATTATTTAGACAATAATACATATATTTTTTTAAAAAAATTACACATTTACTTTCAAAAGAGTAAAAGTAGATCCACATAAATCCCATTACAATTTTCTCACAAATTTACTTAGATCATCTCCTAAAATCACATTTTTTTTAATTCTTTAATAATCTCTCTTATTTTCTTCTCCATTTCTTACTAAATCACCTCTCTCAAACAAACTATCTCATACAAAGTATTTAGACAAATGATTAATTTTCAACTCTCACATAAACAACAAAAACATGAGTAAAAGAAATAAATCATAAAATAAAATTAAAAAATAAAAAATAAACTAATTTAGACATAAGAAGGTACAATTACAAAGTATAGTTACCATTGTTAATTGTGTTGTTTGATGGTGATTGGTGGCGCTGGTACAAGAGTTGTACAACTCCACTAATTGGGAAAACAACAATGGATAGTGGAGCACGAGCCCGTATCATGGCATGGGACCGAGAGAACAACAAAACCCACATGGAGATCCAAACCCACCACCACAAATGTTACATGGAATCAAACACCAAAATTTAATGGACAGAGACTCAAGATGCGAACGAGCCAGAGTTAGCTTCAATAATTCCCACTTGCATTCAATATTATAGGAGGGCCCAAAGCCACCTTTCTCCTCTCAAGATCGATGTGACACTAGAGCTAACACAAAAATACATACATGCATACCCACCTTATCGTTTTCTCTACTAAAATTTTACTCTCTAGTCTCTACACCCTAATAAATATCTACATCTATCTATAATAAAATTACTGTACAACAATTCCTTCATTCTTCAATCTAATTAGGTGTCATGTTAATGTTGTTACACTAATTGGGAGCCTCCTCTTCATCTTAACCGTTGGAAAGTATATAATTTCATCCTTCTCAGCGACCCATCTGCATAGTACAAACAATTTAAGAATTTATGAAATCATAAAGTGGTTTCTAATTTTTGTAGAAAAGTTACATTACCTGTAAGTTGTAACAAGATGGTGAAGGAAAATTGAGAGTTCTAGCCTTGAGAGTTCTATGCCAGGGCATAATCTCTGTCCACCACCAAATGGTGTAAAGCAATTGTTATTAGCCCCAGCCCCAATATTCTGCACTCATAAATAACTTAGTGATTATGAATTTATGATTTCCTTGCATAGCTATGAGATCATAGTATATAGTTTTTATGATTGCTTGTCTACCTCCCATCTCCACGGATCAAACTCAAAAGGGTTTTCATAATTCATGCCATCCAAATGAACAGAAGTAAGAGATGCCACAACACACCAGTCCTTAGGAATTAGGTATCCTGCACAGTCAGAACACAGAATAGTTAAACCGCATCAACTATATACATTTTTTTTCCACAAATTCTGCAATGCCTATACAAATTATTACTTAATTTCTGATAAAAATTAGTCGTTAACAAGATTAGTAAATATTCCGTATCAATATCATACTTAAAAAAATAAAATTATTGCCCCTTCTTGAAAAACATACCTTTAATATCTACGTCTTTGACTGCTTTTCTCCAAATGGCATTGACAATATTTGCCATCCTTAGAGTTTCGCTGATAACCTTGTGGGTTGTAAATTAAATACACAGCAAGGAAGAAAATTGTCATATAATTTTATATAGAAAATAAGTAAAATTACAATAACCGGTTGGTAACTGATTTTGGTTCTAATAGCTAACGTTAGAAGCTCACATTTTGAGTAAATTGCAGTGACAGGTAGTCAGTCCATGCATAATCATCTGAACTATTCTTCCGTCTCTTCAATTCTATATTCTCCTCCTGGTGTGAACAATCAAATAATCAAAGAAATTAAACATAAATTAATTACTTCAACAATCAACATAGATTTATGTAACACGAAATAAAGTTGGAAATATATTAGTGATTTAACATCGAGTATCAAACTAGAATATGGTGTTCGAAATTACTAAGCTATCATGCAAATAGTAACTTTTTTCCGAGGTGAAGAAGGAACAAAAATGTAAAACATTGAACAAAAAGTAAGGAAGAATAAAGGGAGTATGGTGATTGGCAAAACAAAAGGAAGGTGAGCCCTCCATTGTAAGGAGAAATTATTAGATAGTCAACCATTATTACATGTTCATGATTTTAATCAATCACTATATAAAATGTATTTAAGTTTTTTAATTTATTAAAAAAATTAATTTTACTAAATTATGTCATATGTAAATATTAATTAAGAATCATGTAATGTAGGATCATCTAATAATTTATTAGAAAAGTTTAATTTGGTAATGGTGCTTTCATAGTCGTTCATTAATGTAGTATCGTACGGCAAGGAAACACACAACAAAACCCCCAATCACATCCATGTTAACCCCACACTCGTGTACCCTTCATAGTGCTCCAAAGGAAAATGACTACTGAGGGTACTTCAAACACTTCTTTATCGTGGACCGTACCGCACACGAGCATATGAATCCTTAGGGTCCATTAAATTTTTCCTAGATTCTATTCATATTTACTGTACAGACTCGATGGTTCAGAAGTGAAGATTAAGGAAGTTTTGTTTTAATTACCTGTATCCTTCTCTTAAGATTATTTAAAGGTAAATTTGGTTTCGGTTTATGTAAACTAAAAATGCATGTAATTTGAGGAATAGAAATAGATATAGAGGGACCAATGACATGTGTATATATATATATATAAAAACTCAATGTTTCTCAACCAACTTAACTAAAAAAATTTCAGAGCACTAAACGTGAAATAACATCATGTATAATATAATTTCGGTATTTCGAAATAATATTGGTAATTTAAAAAGAAAATTGCATGGATGATGTATAATGATGAGTGAAAAAACGTACTACTAATTTGGATAGAGCAACGGGATAGTCACTGAGAAACTTGACAGCCATGGTCATAGCCGTAGGAAGAGTCTCTTCCCCAGGAATCATCATTTCAATGATGTTTTCGCAGATATTTTCCAACATGTTAGGGATAGAGTTGGTGTCACCCTTATCCCGTAAGAGCACATCCACCACATCCTTTGCTGCACCTGAATCCTTATTATTATTATTATTATTTTGGATATCATTGTTCCTTTCCTCTATTACCCTCCGCACTATCTTCATCATTCTTTCCTTAGCCTGCACTATCCAATATCCATTGTTGGCTGTAATTATTATTATTATTAATAATTAATTAATTAATTGAACAAATAATAATAATAACAAATATATTTTGAGTGGGGGTGAATAACCTTCAAAGATTTATATAGTCTTGTTCCTGGAATCTTGAAGGGTAAGCAAATCAACCCTTTTATGAACTCTTCAAATTCTCTCTTCAAGAAGTCTAAATCTTCTCCGGGGCCCATGCTCAGCAGAACTTTAACCAAAATAGTAAATGTAATCTGAAATAAATATCCGGGGAAAAAATTAAAAAAAAAATGCTATAATTATCCACTGAATTGATTGGTAATCAACTAATCATGTCAATAGACACAAACAAACACACGCACACAAGTTTTTATATATAAATATTAGATAAAGGAGATTTGGGTTTGTTGGCTAGCTAAGGAAACATACTTGTAGTTGCTTAAATAGTGTTATCTTGAATATAATATGATGAAATTAAAACGCGTACAAGTGTATGGTGATGAAAAAATGAAGGAGACCTTTTTGACTTGATCTTGAACGTGTATTGGTTGGTGGGTCCAAGAGGCAAAGCATTGTTTAACAGAGTGTTCGACATCTTTGGTGATTCGAGCTTTGAATTGTGGTGATCGTAGGAAGCCTCCAAGGAGTGAATGAAGTTTCCTATGCATGTTTCCATTCATTTGGAGAATGGAGTAATCTCCCATTAGTTCTCTAACTGATTTTGGATACGCAGGGACGAAGATGTTACCCTGGTTCTGCAGAATCACCTTGTTCACTTCCGGGTCTGTCGACACAATCACACCAGTTCCCAAAATGCTCGTCTTAAATACATTACCATATCTGCATAGACAAATAACAAATTCACAACCCAAAGGGAAAATTTAACTTATCATTTTCTTTCTTATTTAAGTAGAGAGATGTCTTCATAGTTCATACAATATTTTTTTTTTTATTAATCCTCCAACTTTTTATAAAGGTTAAATAAATGTATATAATAATATATATAGTAATAACATGGACCACCGGACTTGTGTTCTTATTTCTGAACTTTGTTTCAGTCATAATTAACAGAAAATTTTCGCTTTGGAAAAAATGCATCGTATCCAATTAGGCTAGTAAGTATCGTTGTATGGATGAATATTTTTCAATGAAAAGCAAATGTGCATCAATAAAAATGTAACACACTGTAATAGTTGTTAAATATGTTACATTTTTTTTTTGAAAAACGACAAGTACTTGTCTAAAGTTACCTAAAATTTGTCCTTATTAATATTCATCTTAATTTAAAATAGACTTGATTACATTTTTCCCTTTGATTTAAATTTTACGTGATGTTAGTCTCAATTTTTTTTTTTGAATCAAAGTTTTTCTTTTCGGAAATCAAAAGAAAATTTGGCCCTTCTATCAATTTTCGTTTACCTAAAACTAAAAGATTCTCATTTTCTACACAAAGTTTATGATAGATTTAGAATATAAGATAATTATAAAAGCTCACATCTTAGAAACTTAGTAAAAATTGTATAAAGTTTGGAGGAGTTTAATTTTGTAGGAAATGAAATAAGGATTTGGATAGTGAAAACTTTGAGAACTTTTTATTTCGAGTAAAACTTAATATTTAAGTTAATAAGTTTTGAATAAAAGAAATTTTAAACAGTTTATTAGATTTAATTTGTAAAAAATTTGAATAAAAACTGAGAACTGAAGGTTTTTAAAGTAAAATAATTTTGGTAAAGGGATAAAAAATTTGTTTATTTCTAAAAATAGAAGAATTTAATTGACTCAAAAAAATAAAAAGATGAAAACTACACCTAATGTGAACTTAAAAGAGTAAGAATAGAATTGAACCGAAGATTATAAACTTATATGTTAAAAAATGTTTGAAATTGTTTTCTACTAAAAATACTCTTTATTAATAAAGAAGTTCTCGAAACAGCCTTAAAATGAATAATAATGAGTGTTGTTACTGCCTGCAGAAGCAACGCTGCAAGCCAGAACAGTCCAAAGGTGAATCTAGATAGCTCCAGTTACGGCAGAAGCAGGCTTTTCTGCTCTTACTTCATTGGATATGTTATTCTCCCTATAGAAGCTGCAAGCCTACAACGGTACAACCATAAAGGGCTCTTATTTATTAATTCTATCACGAGGGTGTCCAATAATGGACCTCCCTCATCTCTACCTACGTTCATTTCATTCAATTCAATTTTAGAGCTTCTACCCACTTAGCCAGGCTAGGTCCTTTCTCTATGTAGAAACTGTCAAATACCATTTTTTATCTCTTATTAGTTGAAAGGGAATATGCTAGTGCTACCATAATATTCAATAATCAATATGATTAGTAGCTAATGGGTTCTTAAAGTATGTTGATAAAGTTTGATTCTTTTGTCAATCAAGGTTAGTTTAGTTGATAAGAAATTGACTTATATTCTAAAAAGACCAAAATTCGATTTCTGTTGATGTGATGATCTGACTCTGATGAGGCCTGAACTTAACCCACCTAGAACTTTTAATACAAAAGAAAAGAGTTTGATTTGCATGACATGTATATAAAAAACATTATGAGAAAAAAATAAATCATTTGATGATCTTCACATCTTGACTTCACAATTACTACCAATTTACCACATTGTTAATTTTGCAGTCATTAATTTCTAGTTCGTTTGAAACATGCATGGAGTGAAACACAATTGTAAACACAGGCCTTAATTTGTCTTTTTTGTATGAGCACAACACAAAGTGTCTCCTTCCCTGTCTTCGTGACAGAAAAATGAGTCCTTGGCACAAAAAAGAATTACACCTTAGAAAAGTGTTACTTTCTAAAAAGAAAGAAATCTCTTAACCACGTGTTAATAAGAAAAAATAGATCGAGAATGAGGAAATGAACTCATTCTGAATAAAGGATAACAATTTAAAACTAAATTGGTTTCTTCCTAGAAAGAAGATAAAGACTATTTTTCATTAATTATATGAAGAAGAAAAAAAAGCTGGTTCTCTCTAGCTTATTTAATGGTTAAATCCACTTAACCTGCCTACATACAATTAATGTTACTGAAATCCAATTCATCAATTAACATATTCAAAAGCTTCGCTTTATTCTAACATGGCTTCTTTCTTAAAACAAAGATGACATTGCGTTACACTGTGAATCCCAATTAATCACAAATTAAAAAATATGTAACTTTTCATTTCTCTCAATTATGTACTTAAAGCTATAGCCAAGTAGGATGCTAAATAGCATTATTTGAACCGAGTATAGGTATATATAAATCATTGAAAAAAAGATATAGATACATATATATTTATATAGTGAGCATTTCAGATCTAAAAGTTAAAATTAGAAATCTAGAGACATGCAACTTAAATATTTCCTAAATTAGGTAGTAATAGTAAGTTAATGCTGTTCATTCTAACAAATACATATTTTTTCTCTATAGTGTATATGTGGACCACGTACAAGGACGGAGCCAAGGGGGGACCTACGGGTGCCACGGCCCCCCAACAATTTTAATTTTTTTTTATATACATATATATTACTATATGTCTCCTCCTATTTGTAATATAAACTCATATGTGTAATTAAATGAAGAACCCACATTTATGTTTTTATTCAACTTTGGGACTTCTGGTACGGCCTGCTATGTGGTATCACTTTGGAATTTATTCTCGGCCCCCCAGTATTGAAATCCTGGCTCCGTCCCTGACCACGTACAAGGACAAATTTCCACCAACACATGATCACCGATAAAAATATGCGAATATTGTAAAGGACCACACAGAGTTGTTAAAAGTTGGGCCATCACAAAGAATAGACTAGAAGTAAGAAGATATGTTCATGGGGACAGAGACTTTTAGTGGTTTTTAATTTCTCTGCATATATTATATCAATATATACGTGTATGGATATATATATATACCTAATAAGGAATCAAAAACACATCTCTCTATTATAAATTGACTATTGATAGTTCTTGTCACTTTGGAAATCACTTGTATGTGCATCAATGATGTAATGCTCCAACCGAAGATAAGTTAGGAGTAAAGAGAAAGAAAACTAAAAATAAAAATAAAATTGTGTCGGCTGAGCATGCATGTCATCACCCTCGTGGAGAATGAAATGGTATGAGAAAGTAACAAAAGGAAGCATAAATTGAAAGCAATGGAAATCTTACAGAGACTTTCGTTTTTCCATGAAGCTGACAGGGTTGGAGGAGTAGCCACAAGCAATGAACTCAAGGGTCTCTCCAAGTAAAGGCCAACCTTTGTTTCCTTTTGGAACTTTCCCCTTCTTTTTCTTCTTGACCTTATTACTATTCTCCTTCTTCATCACACAAAGAAACCACCAAAACAAAAGCATACCCATCAGAGTCCATAGTCCAATAAACCATTCCATGGTGAAAAACCCTTGTAGCTTGTTCTGCCTTCTCTGTATCAGTTTGAGTTATGGCACTCCGGGGTAACTTGTGAGTTTCAGTTCATGCAGCTGCTGTTAGGTCGTACTTCACTGTTTGCTATGCTGTTGTTGAGGGGTGAAAAAGAAAGGGAAAAGGAGAAATAGAGAGAGAGAGAGAGAGAGGTGTTGAATATGTTTGATAAGTGAAGGAAGAAACTTCTTTTTGTCCTTCCTTGGGGGAGAGTTATAAATGAGAGTGGGGATACACATATTGAGAGGGAGATTCTGAAGATCTAGGGCTTGAAGCAATCATTTAATGTGATGGTCTTATTGGGTTCACCTAATCAACCGTGATCGTTTATTTTGTCTTCACTCAATTTAGATAGTTATTAATCGGAGCTCTTTGCCATGTCCTAATAACCCCACCCATGCCCCCATGGCTTTCCTACTTGCTCTGCAATTATTAGATATCTCTCTCTCCTCTTTTACTTTTTTTATTTTTAAAATCATTCTTTTATTTATACTACTATTTCCCGTCTTTTATAACTATTATTATAAATAAAAAAAATGATTAGTGTTAAAAGAAATTCAACCCAACTTTAATTAAATCTTATAAAATTAATCTATAAGATGAAAATTATAAGATTATTAGATTTCATTTATCTTTAATCAATCAATTTTAAGAATAAAATTTATAACGTTCAACATTTATGGATGATATGATATATTCAAAAATAATTAATAATTATTAAGATATATGTTCTGATATAATAATAAGGATTGATTCTTAGTTATATATAATGATATGAGATCGCTATCAAATTGTGTAAAAATACATTATTAATTTTTTTTTTTTTATAAGCAAAAGAATTAGATTAAAAGGAGAAATGGGGTTGCCCCAGTTGAGGCTCGAACTGAGGTAAGATATCCATGTTAAGCAAAGGGAAGCATCTCATGCCAATCTTTGTATGTCACCACCATTTTCTGAATGATGTTCTTGTTTGTTGTTTCAACTGCCCCGTTCATCTTTGGGCGATATGGGAAA